TTACAGTAAGTTTACTAAAAACTTGAGCCAATAAGACTATATAAAATTAAGTATTTAAATGATTCTAGTTCGAAAAATTTATATAATTCATAATTTATAGTCTTTATTAAATTTCATTAAGATTAATTTTTAAATTGATAAATTCAAGTAAATACATAGTTTATTCTTATATAAATACATTTGTCTAAATAAATTGAGGTCTTTTCAACTTTTTTTAATTAAGTATTCTTTGATCGTAAAGAAAAAAGATATTAAAATTTATAATATTCAACTTTTTCGAATAAATATCTATTTTATCGAGTTATTGATCGAAAATGGCCAATTTGATTTTCAGAATCAATTATTTTTGAAAGTATAGTGTGTCTTAGAAAATTGCCGTTTAATTTGTCTTCTTCATTCATTTATTATCTGATTAAAATATCTCCTGATTTCTACTTTAAGAATATATAAATTTTTGTATAGTAGAATGATATTTTCCAAACAAAATCACAATCAATAGATGCAACCACATCTTTATTTTATTAACCCAACAAATATTATGAAATGTCTTTTAATTTATGGATTATGCTCACATAATTAATCTTAAACTTCTAAGCATTTCACTAGCCCCAAAAATTCTATAATAAATGTCAAATTATTTAGGTTTAATAAATATAAAATTTCTGCATAGAACTTCATCATTAGAAAAATATAAATTTGATTTTGGATTATCATTTTTAGGTCTAAAAAGCAAAGAAAATATTCTATAATCAATTCCAGTGATTCTAACTAGAATTGCTCCTAATTAAGTTGAACTTGTATATATTTATGTAATAATATCAATATCTTACATAAGTTAATCAATAACATATTCTAGATTAGGATATTGATGAGTACACGAATTAACAATATCCTAGAAATTAGTTCATTCTTAAATACAAGATATAAGAAATAATAGTTAGAATTAGTTTCTTTATTCTTTTTTTTTGTTACTTATAATTTTATAACTTTAATTAATTCATAGTTACAATTGTATTTTCTTCTTTTCAAAATATCTGAATAACTTTTAGTTTTTAAAAATTCCAGGTATTTTGTGATTTCTAAAGATGATTATTCGAATATTAATTTTCTCTTATGAGAGGTGGTCTTCGTTCCCTATTTTAGTTTCTATTTTTGAAGTTTCAAGATAATATTTTGTCTAAATAGTTTATTATGAATTATGTTTATAAAAACAATTTATTGAACTAAATCCTAATCTTTTTGATTAAGAAAAATGAATACTTAATATTAGTTTGTATAAACTTATTTATGTAACTTAAGTATTAATATGATGTTTTTTATAATTATTGTTATTATCTTTCATTTACTACAATACCTTATAGTAATTTAGAAAGTTTATGTTAGAACTATCAGCCAACATATTTTTATAGAAGAACTTCTTCTTAATTTAAGGCTCAGTTGGAAATATCATTAAATATATATATAAATTATTTTAATATCATAAAGAAGCAATGCTTTATTCCCATTTGAATTAAAACTTTAATTCTCTTTCACTAAGTACTTTGATTTAATCTCTTGCATTATCAACTTATTTCTTATATTCATTAACAAACTCATTAATTGATTTAAAGAATTCATGTTTTGCTGATATCTAACGAAATGTTTTGAATGATTTTAATGGTCTAATAAAATTTCAAATATTATTACGTTGTAGTAGTTTAAACAGGTTTCTCCAATTCTTACTATTTTCCACCTGCTGCTGGTTTCTTTGCTTCTGGTGCTTTATTTTTAGCATCTTTTGGATCCACTTTCACAACTTAATTCATTTACCAATTATATTAAATTATTCTATCTCCTATTGTAAACATTTCTAATTAAACTCCTTCCCAAGTTTTACTTAAAGATCTTTCTGAATTTGTATCTATTATTTAACCACTCTACTTCTATCTCAATGACACTTTTAAATTTTAATGCTTCTTTTATATTTATTCATCTCCTGGTAATTTTATAAAATCTTCAAATAATAATAATGAATCATAAAAAAGCAATAGAAATTCAAAATTTTAACTTGCAGCTCTCAAAAATTTATCTCCTTAATTGAAATTCTCATCAAATAGAGTTACTTAATATTTTGATAATAATTCTAAGAAATCTGAAAGTCTTTTCTATTCTCTCTATTTTAAATCATCTAATTCTTCTTTCAACTATGGATTACCTAAATTTGGTCTTAATTATTTTTAATGTATTTTTTTAAGATTTTCCTATTTGCTCTATTCTTTTTATATTTCATTCCATAATTTTGAATTTATCAATTATAATGTAAAAACCCATCTTTAATGATTAGACAATAATATCATTTCACTAATTTATGGAGACATTTCTGATAATTCCTCACAAGTATTTCTTAATTCTCTTATTGATTATATTCTGAATTCATTCATATTCCTTTACATATTTTCAATGTAAGTTCTAAGATAATCTGGAATTTTATCAGTTCCAGTTAAGAATTTTTATTTATCAGCATAAATTTTAATTGCTTCTTCTTTAATTATTTTTTCTATTTCTATTAAACTTTCTTATAATTTCTTTTCAGTATAAAATAAAGGTCCCATACTTTCTAAATCATTTTCAATTAATTTTTTATCATCTATTTATTCATCATTTTCTAGAATAGTATCAAATTTATTTTCTTTCCAAGTAGTTCTTGGCATATCTACAACTTTATTATCTGGTTTAAGTGCTTCTATATGTGTTGCATATCTTTTAATACAAATTAAAGTTCCACTTAATATTTTTCTAATTTTAATTGAAAATGATGGATCAAGATTTGAAAAATAATCACCTTTATTTTTTTAAAATAAATCATAATGATTTTTTAATTCTTAAATTTTAAGATTAATACATTCTTATGCTTTTTCACATTTAGTCATTTCTGTTCTTAATTTTTCTTAAGCTATTCTTTTAGGTCTACCATATTTTTTACCAGTTCCATCTTTAGCTGCTAAATCTTCTACTGCTACAATATATTCTTATTCAAATTTATCAAGTTATTCTTATTTTTTAGCTGTTAATACTTTTTTAATTTCTTCTAATCTTTATGTTCTTTTTTCTTTATGTTTAGCAATAGTAGAATTATGTTCATCCATCATTTATTGATACCATTCTAATTCTTCTTTAAAATATTCATTAGGTTTGCAATCTCTCATAAAATCTTTATTTTTCTACAATAATACATCTAATTCTTAATTTGCTAAATAATTTAATTTAGATTCTAAATCATTTATTTCTAAATATCATTAAATAGATTACTTTCTCCAAATTTAAAATAATTCTCTTTAACAGTATTTTGAATTCCTTATAATTTAGCCAATGTTGTAGCTGATTATAGATTATTTTTCAATGTTTATTATTCTTAAATATAATCTTTCATATCTAATAATCCTCCTTCTAATAAAAAATTGATTTATTCTGTTTAATCATCTATTCTTTCAACTAATTACTTTGCATATCGTTCATATCTAATTAATATTATATAAAAAGATCACCTTTTTTTATGCATAGTAATCTATTAACTCCTTAATACATATATAGTATTTTTTATTTCTTATTTTTATGGTTCTATTTATGCTTATTTTTCATTCCTCTAATTTTCAGATTATTTAATAAACTCTTAATCGCTTTCTTTAGCTTATTAATTTTAAAAATTTAAACAACTTGTAATGTAATCATACAATTTTTGTTATGTTTAATTCAATAATGTTGACAAATATTCAACAGTTATAATAGCATCTTTTTCTAAAACAGCTTAATTTAAAACATTAATCGGAGGTTATTCTGCAAAATCAACTGATTTCTTTGGAATATCTTCTTCTGGTACATAATTAGGTAATTCAATAGGAGGAGGTGCTGCAGGTTTAGCTTTTGGATCTTTTGGTGCATTCTATTACTATATATATTATTCAATTTCATCAATTTCTAACTTTTCTTTAGCTAATACTTATTCCATTTCATCAGGAGGTATATACATACGTTCTGCTATTTCTATTGCTGATCTATACTATACAAATTATTAATCAAGAGGACTATTATATTTAATTACTTCTTAAGGAGGTTATTCCTTTAATAATTATTTCATTCTCTCTTCTAATTCTTATTAGAATCTATTATATTTTATATATTTATACTTTTTAGGATCTTTTGGTTTAATTGCTGGAGGTTTTCCACCTTTTTTATTTTTAGCTTCCTCTATCAATTTTTCTTCTTCTATTTTCTTATTGTATTCTTCCTTTGCTATTTAATACTTTATTTTTGTTTCAGCTATCCTTCTATATTTCTCTTATAAGAATTATTCTTTTTATGGATCAACTAATTCAAATATGATTAATGCTTATTTCTCAAATATTTAATGTTTATTTCTAATTATATTTGGATGTTGATTTGCTATATTCATATTATCCTAATGAAATCTATCATATTCCTCTCCAAATTAATCCAAATCTTTATAACATTAACTTAAACATTCTTCTAAACGAGGATGATGTAATGCTTCTCCTAATTTCTATTTATCTTCTTTCAATTTCTTAGTTAATTCTTCTAAAACTTCATCATTCTTATCTGCTGCCTATGCTTTCTGAATTTCATAATTGTGATGTAATAATTACATCTCTGTTTTATATTCATCATTCTTTGTTGCTATTTTCATAAAGAATTATCCAAAATTACTCATTATATCTGTTTATTATTAATCAATCCTTTCATAATAATCTATTGCTTATTTCATTAAATCTCTTGCTTATTAATTTAAACCATTTACTTATGGTAGAAACACTTCATCTAATAATTAAGATAATTCTTCCTCTGATTTTGCCTTTGCATAAAATAATTATGATTTAATTAATTCATATCTCTACATGCAATAATTATGTGTTTTTTTAGTTTCTTCTAATAAATTATTACAACAAACATCAATTGTTTAAGATGCTAATTCATTATATGATTTGATTTCATCCAACCATTTTTCAACAATGTTCTTTGTTACTCCAGATAATTCAATAGAGTTAAGTTTCTCTAAAAGTTGTTTTCTTTCTCTGAAAATATCCTTTTAAGTTTTCTTAAACTTATCATATAATTAAGTTCTTTCATCAGGATATACATATTCTAATTTCTAAATATCTACATTGAATTCATCAACATAATGTTAATGTTTTAAATCTCTCCATCGTTATTCTTTTTAAACCTGTGTCTCATCATACAGTTTGAATGTCTCTTAATGTTATCGATTCACTTCTAGAACATAAGCTTAATTCTCTGCTCTCTTGTCTGCTACAACTTTTCGAAACTCTTCTCTGAAAGTCTGAACGTATAATAAGAGCTCATACATCCACATGCGCAGTAATTTCTGGTTCTAATTTGAATGCCACATCAATCAGTCCTTCTTAGTATCTATTGCAAAAGAGTTCTAAGGATCTAAATCTCTCTTTTTCTAAGTCTTCAAGCCTTTTATCAAGAGTATTAACTTTAGTTTCTCTTTTTTCTCTATGTGAATTAACAGTAGAATGGATACTTTCTACAAATTCAATTTCTCTTTTAAGCAAAGCTTCATCAGTCAAAGTTTGATAATAGCTAGTAATTTATTAATCTGATTCATAAAAGAAATCTGTAATATCTCTTTTAATATCTTTATAGGCTTCTTCTAAATTTTTATTAAGTCTATTGACCCATTTTTCAAATTCATCACAAAATTTGAGATGTTTATCTCTTCTATTATCTTTTTATCTTTCAATAAGCAACTTAATATTAAATTTGATAACTTACTTTAGTTTATTCTCTGTAGATAGGTGCAGGATGTTTTGGAAGTGAAGCAACTTCAGATTGTAATGTATATTCAAATTTTTAAATTTCTTTTTCAAGTCTGGCTTATCTTACAGCTTCTTTTCCTGTAGAAGTAAGTGTAACTTTAGGCATAGATGAATTTTCAGGTCTTTTATACTCAGTAAGTAAAGCAGCATGCAATTATGAAGATGCTTTAAATTAATTACTTATAGGTTATTCTTCAAGACTTCTTTGAGCAGACCTTGTAAAAGTTGATTTCATAATTAATATAAATGGGATGTTTAGAATTTTGGGTTGTAAATAGTTTCTTAGCAGCACTTACATTCGTATGATTATATAGTAGAAGTCTAGTTTGTACTATTCTTGGTAATTGATACTTAATACCCATTATATCCATATGCTGTAGCAGGAGGTTAATTAAGAGATAATTCTAAGAGTGCCACAGCTTGTATTGTTGCTGCAGCTGTAATATATTAATTATACTTAAGCTGTATATATTCATAGGATTAGGACTTTTATTATGGTAGAAAAGTAGAGAACATAGAATTGAAAAAGAAAGATAATATACATCATAGAGTAAATAGTCAAGAACTAATTTTGATGAAAAAATTCAATCATAACCTTCGTTTAAAGTCAAAGGACCATAATTAGAATTATGATCTAAATATTAATTTTAATAACAATGCCATTTTTCTACAATCCTTTCCAGATTAGTATTAATATCATATTAAACCAAAAATAATTAATCAAAAAAAGATATTAATTAATATTAATGGCTACACCACAATCTTTGACACCAGCTCCATTGTAATCTTTGGGCGATTTCAGTGTTAAGAAATTAGTTGAAGATGATTTCTCAACAGGAAAAGCAACTTTGAAAGTCAAAGCTTAAGCAAATGGTGGAGGCATTGCAAACTATAAAGGAATCTTAGATATTAATAGTTCATTAGCTCCAGGTTAAGAAACTAAATTTTAAATGCCATACAACAATTAATATTTTTGGTTTGCCACAAGAAGAGAATAAACCAAAGTTCATGTTGATTTCGGCAAATTTAATATCATAAAAAAATAAAATATATTTGCTAATGTATAATTCTATAATAGTTCATCAAAATCAACCATTAGATTAGGATCAGTTTATGAAGGATAAAAATGCTTATGTCATACAAGTATTATTATTTATAAACCAAATTAGGACTTGAATGGTTAAACTAAGATAAAGTCAATTTATTACTTAGATCATAAGGTAGAAATAATAATTGGCTCTATGTTATTGCTTCAAAAGCATGCTTATCAAAATAATAATTTGATAAGTTGGACTTTTTGATTGGATATTAAACATAAAATTATGATGTTTTCTTCAGACATATTACGAATGAAACTCATCCATCTTTTCCAATTATAAGCAATTTTGGAATTGGTAGACTTTATGTTGATGCTGTTTATAGAAAGAATTCTAATTAATATGGATTTTAATTAGAGACTAAACCATTCGAAGTCACAGGATTTCATTTAGCTGCTTCAACTAAAGTTTAAGGAGCTGATGTTAAAGCAAGATTAAATGTATTTAAAAGAACTGTTGGTCTATCTGCTAAAGGAAAATTTAATAATACGTATATTTTATATATTATATATATTAGATTTGCATGGACATTAGCAACTGAACTCCCAGTTAATGGAACTAGCCCATCAAAATGCGGATGTCTTCCAGTTCCTATTGGATTAACTTTGGAAACAACAATATGAGGTTAATCATAAATAAATATTATTCAAATTCATTATTAATGTTATATATTAATTTATTATATAATAATATAATTATATATTATAGAATTTGTTGTTAGGTGAACAATCATTTAGAAAAAGTAAAAATCATTTATTTAAAATTCAAAATTACTTAATTATTAATTTTAATAACAATTTATCTTTAAATTAGTTAAATAAAAAAACTTAAAAAAATTAATCTTTCTTATATGCTTAATTTTATGAACATACATATTCAGAATAATAATACTAATAAATATTATAATTAAACAAAAACAATTCTCATTATTACTATTCTTATTCTGATTATTATTAATGATAAAAATATTCCACAATTTATTCATGTTAATAACCCTATAATATCATATACTAACATTATTACTCATATGATAATTAGGTATAATTTTATGAATAATATTCAATTAATCTCATTTATTCTTCCTGACTGAGTTAATCAAGATATTATTATTATTCATAAAGATATATTAGTTATTCATTATAACTTTCTACTTGTTTATTATATTCTGCATAAGCTTTTTATTATTCTAATATAACACTCTCAGTTATTTGTTAATGCTCTTCTATTGTCATTCCATGTTCTTACTAAAATTCTTTTTAATCTTCTTCATAATCCATTTAATCTACCAATGCCTCATCTGAATCACTATTCAATCCTCCTTCTTATACTTTTCTTTTTATTATTTTTCTTTTTAACTATTAAACATCTTCAAAATATGAATCCAATCTTAATTTCATCTTTTATTTCACTTATCTAACTGTTTAAAGAGGTTATAATGATTTAATTATTTCTTTATTAGGATTCAATAATAAAGCTAACTAAAACTTCTTTAAAACTTCTTCTTTTGAATATTTTTATTACCAATCATTAACATTCATAACTGCTTATCCAATTAAATAATGTATTAATGATTACAATTTAGGATTCTCTATTTATTATTATTATACAAAAGAAACAAATTTCTTTAATGTATTTATATCTTTATTCTTACTAACTTAATTATATGATCTAATTATTTAACCCCAAATGATTATAGGATCACTATTAAAAATATATTTATTTGTAATATCCAACCATTTTTCTAATTCTTAATATTTTTCAGTTGCAATATGATAGTGTATATATATTGACAAACTAATTGGATTAAATGTACCTTAATTTGCAAACTAATATTATTTTAATTTATTACCTCATCAGCAATTTCTTATAAATTAGTTAGAGTTTAACCAATTGATTCAATATCATCTAATTTTTTCAAATAACAGCCATAATGTAACATATTATATATGAATCTTGCTTTCTTTAGTTTTTCATCCTTTGGTAAAAATTGTTATGCATATAAACAATAATTTTACATGACTTAATTTAAAATAGATTCCATTCCCTATTGACCATTCTCAAAATAATATTATGTTAAGATAGGCTAATTAAATAAAAATTATTATTACTATTAAAAATATAGCTATCTTTTTCCATTAAATTTAATCTTCATAATTTTCTAGATACTTATCTTTATATTATAAAATAAGTTAGTTTACATTATCTTTTTCATGCAATTTCTTTTAAATCGATGCCTTAATCCAATATTTTTATTTATCTATATTATATTATTTTACTATTTAATCTAACAATCCTTCAGTTGATATTTATTACTCTATATCACACAAAATTTTCACTAAATATTTAGCTATTAAATTATCAGAATATGGTAATATCTTAAATTTAATAATTTTTAGTATTAAAGGTAATCTAGATGTATTTCTAGATCTCTCTTAAACTAATTCATTTATAATTGTATTTAACCATAATGTTGCTTAATTAGTTTTTTTTAAATCTAATATTTCTTATTAAATATATTTCTACTCATAAAATGTCATATGAATTTTGTTGAGAATTTCGCGATAAACTCGTTTTAATGGATTATGAAATATACATAATTACAAATGAGTCATAGCCTCTTACCAATTTCCTTAATATATTAATTCCATAAATTATAATTTATGTTTTAATTCATCAGTTATTTTTGTATTTTTATCCATTAATTAATCAATATAATTTATCAATTAAGCTTCATTAAGTTCTTTTAATTTTAAACATTATTATTAAAACTTAGCAACAAATAAATAATAATCTTTATGAGAATTATCTTTTAAATAAATTGTTCTTGTGTAATGATACCATTTATTAACAAAACTTAAAAACAAAACATCAAAGTTGAAAATATTAGTAGCTTATCTTAATTTGATAATATTTTTAATCAACATATCAAATGCATCATTAATGATTTAAATTAATTCTTATAAATTAGATACTTTGTCTATACATAATGTTAATAAATGAATTAAATATTTTAATTTTGAAGCCCATTAAACTTAATTATTATTAGGGCTTTCATATTAATTCATTTATTATATAATTTATTAAATTTCTTCTTTTATAAACTTAATACTAGTATATTTGATATATATCTTTTCTAACTCTTCTGTTTTTTACAAGTAAGGAATTTCACAATAAAGAATTCCCAAGTATTCTGATGGAAATTATTTAAGTAATTACTTAAATTTCTCATCATGAAGGATGGCTTCACTAGTAATTGTATATCCCAAATAGAGATTTCTAAATATGATACTTAAAATATTTTAAATTGGAGTATTTTAAAGGGTTGATACATAGTCTAAATATGATGAAATTGCTTAAGCTAATTAATTTTGATAAAAATGTAATGAATCTAACTATTTTACTTTATTGCAATCTGAAATTTCAATGTTATAATTTTATTGTAGATAAATAAATAAAATTATAGATAATGCCAAATATGCAAAAGCTGATGTTGTAGGTTCTACCTCTATACATTTTTAAAGAGTTTAAAAAGCAAATTCATAATTTTATCTCCCAATATAAAGTAATCCTAATTAATACAAGGCGGCTTAACATTTCTTATTACATTCTAAAGCCTTTATTATAAATGATGGATTTCTTCTGATTTATGCAGCTATACAATACAAACTGTCACATTTTGGAAATAAAGATAAACTTAATTCTAAATATTTATTATTATCTAGATTTAATCTACATCTAGTTAATAATAAAGATTGCAAATTATTTTTCACAATTAGTTATTTTTTATCTTATCCGTTTAATATGCTCCTCATATGTTAAAATGTTTCTTATAAATCAAATTAATCTTCAATATCTACTTAGCATAATAATTTTATCACATTTTAAGAATATTATAAACTTTATTTAAAATACTAGACATCATAATATATTCCTAATAAATAAAAGAATTCTCTTAAGCATTCACAAGCATATACATTTAATTGTAATTAAGATTAAATTAAATCAAATAAGCTTAAATATTTCTAAGCCATTAATTAAGCTCCATCTGTTCCATAAACTAATTAATTCTTTATTTATTATACTCCTATTTCAAAAATAAAACATAAATAACTCTTTATCAATATTTGAACTTCTTAATCATCAAAATTATCAATTGACATTAACAATCCTTAAATCATTCTTTCTTAACTAAAGTAATCTTATTATCCATATAATTGCAATTAAGCACATTCAAAATTATGTAAAATTAAAAGTTTAGAATATTATTTATCTATTTTTTTTGTCTTATATGTACTCACCCATCTGCTTTAAATTTATATTTAATTAAATTATTGAGTAAATTTTATTAATTTTCCTTTATTACTTGTATCATCACATTTCATTGTTAAATAATTATCTAATTAAGACATTTAATTTTTATTATCACTTTGCAACAATTCTTCAGCTTTTTCTAAACTTTTTAAAGCTGATCCTTACAATCCAAGAATTTTCTTTAGTTCAGATAATTTCATTTCTAATTTAAATAATTTTAAATATTTTTCATCCTAAAAATATTATTCAGTCAAAACAATCATTCCTTGATTTATTATATAATTTGAAGAAAACACAGGATAATCAGATAAATATAGATTATCATTTTAATTTATAAAATAAGGTATTGAGAAATCACCTTAATCGAATTTCTTTTCATAATATAATTTGTATGTTTTTTCAGCATTAAAATGAAATTAATCCGCCGCTTTCTATAAAATATCATGAGCTTTACCAAATTAAACATTCTACATCAAATGCTATCCTATTGTGAAGCTTAACCAATAAACATTTTAAAATTATTATAACTTATAAATATTAATTGCAAATTCCAATGCTTTATCTTTTTATTTTAATTTATTTAAAACAAACATAATTATTTAATTTAAATGATAATTTGTTTAACAATAATTAAATGCTCTATATAAATGCTCTAAAGAGTCTGCAAATTATTTTTAATAGAAAGCTATCATGCCAAGAGCAAAACTTGCTTCATAATCATCACTTTGTACTTTTTCAAAACAAGATTTAGCTTCAATTATTTGTTTATTTAATAATTTTAATGTTCCAATTCTTTTAAAAATGATTTATTCAATTTTAATAGGAGCAGGAAGGTATTTTTAATATCTTTCAATTAATTCTTATTGAGATATCTTATTTTCTGAAAATTTTAGCCAATCATAATTGATTTGAATTTTTAGATTTTATGGATCATCTGATAAAATTTTTTCAAATATTAGTTACATTGATAATTCTTCATCATAATGTCTAATTAATGAAACTAATTTCATTTGATAATCAAAATATTTTTCATATGTTTCAAGAGAATAAGCTTTGTTTTTAATTCTAACTTTTAATAAATTCTTCATTTCCATTAATTCAACTGGATCTGCTAGAATGTCATATCCTAAATTAGCACCTACTTCTTCCAATACAGAAACATCAAATTCAAAGTTTTTTAATTACTTCATTTTCTTATTGAAATCAACCATTAATGTATTAGCTAATTATGAATTATCTTTATTTCCACTTTTAAACAATTAAGCAACTTTAAGTGGCAATTCTAAGATAGTATAATCTTTGTCTTTTTCTATAATATCAAAATTTTTTTATTAAAGCAATTTATCAATTACAGATATAAATTAATCTCCACTTTGTTATACTATTTAAGATGCATAGATTCTCATAAAGGCTAAAAATGATTGGGCTTTCATTATTGTTTTATTATATTATTCTTCATCAAATGTATTATAATTGAAAAATGTTAAACCTTCTTTGGCATCACTTAATAAAATTATACATTGCTCTAATAAAAATTTTATTTTATAATCTAGAAAACAGTGACAATATCTTAAAACTTAATCTAATAAAAAACAACTTGATGGAAGTAATTCTAACCATTCAAATAATACAATATAATGTTCTTTTTAAATAGCAAGTCCAAAAATAATATCTCTAAATTGTATTGGAAATTTAGATACTACTTTTCTAGAAATAGTTTCAATAATTTCAAAATTTGGCATTTAATTTGATATTTTTTATGAAAATGGACGAATAATGGAGTTGTATGATTTAGATTAAGTTACATCAATTAATTTAAGATCGATTATTAATGGAATATAAAATTTGGCTACTTTATAAACTTATTCAGCTGAACCATGTTTTAATAATTCTTGAAAATGAACATCCAACATTTTCCTCTCTTAATTTTCATGTAAAATCTCACAATATCCAACAGTTACATCCATTGCTTTACCAATTTCTGTTTTTTTGCTATATATAACATAATATAATACTAAATTGTAATTAACTTTTATCCATATTCAATTGCTTTTTCTTTATTTTTAATATCGTCCTTATTAAGTTTAAAAAGTGCATTTAATATTTTAGGATCTTCAGGTCTTTTTTCAAGTGTGTAGAGATAGAATTCTTCAGCCTTTTTGAAATTTTTGAGCTTCTAAAAACATAATCCACTCAACATATTATATTCGATGTTTCTTTCTATTGATAAGAATAAATAAATACGATCTTTTAAAAGTAGAATATATAAATAATCATCATATGCTTCTTTGTATTTTTCTTATTTAATTAGGGAAAGTGCTTTTTAGTATAATTCTTTTAATCTATCCATATATTAAACTTTATATTAAAATATACAATACAAAAACTCAATGTTTTTTACCTGTAAGTTTTTCTCTCCATTTTCTGTCATTTCTTTATTTGATTTCATACATTTCTTTAGTTCTTTGGGAATTATTAAAATCTCTCAATTTCCAATATAAAATGTCTAATCTGAAATTAGAATCTGATGGTAAAGGGCATGGATGATTAACCATAACATGAGGATTCATTTCAAAAGTATCAAATAATTTAACTCCATCAAATTCAACCATTTAATTCCAAATACCATTTATAGAAAAATACTATAAAAAATTAATAAATAAATTACTTTTTATTCAACATCTTTATCAAAATCTATTCCAGAGTATTTAGCATATCCTTCCTTTTTATATTTGTTTAATACTCCAGGTTTTACTTTATATAAATAGCCAATAAATTGATCTTATAATAGATCTTTTTTGTTAAATACATTTTTGCTTCCTGGATTGAATGCCATGTCTGCTATTAAATTATTTTCCTATTAAATTATAATTTAAATATATTTACTAAATCTATTGTATAAGATCTCCCATTAATATTAAAAACTCTTGTTCCAAATGCAGTTCCTGTTAATACACCAGGACATTAGATAAAAATTTACTTTGAACGTGTATTATGATAAGTAACTCTAATAAACCCAATATTTTTTCCTGTAACACTATTGGCATGCATACTAGCTGCTGATTCAATATGTCCATCAATATCATAACCTCTACCTTTTAATTAAAAAGCACTTATAGGAGGATGATGACTCACTTATTCAGCATATACAGGGCAACCATTAATAAAACCTTGGTAAGTTTCTCCCAAAATAGGATTGAATGGTTTTTCTAAAGACATATACATAATAATTGAACCTATAAATTTTAATTAATAATAATACTGCATCCAAATGCTATTGTATATTTCATCTATTCTATAATATTATCAATTTTAGCTGCTTTTTCTAATATCTAAGGAGCAAACGTGAATGAATAACAAAATCTTTCTAAATTTGATCTACTTTCAAACACTTCAACAGGTAATGAAATATTCAAAATTGATTTACCAGACAATAAATTTGATCCTATTGATTTTAACATAAACTTTATAACTCTTTTCTAAGCTTCTATTTTCTTCTAACTATAGAATATCATTCCACCATGTTTAGTATCCCTTTTCCAATCCTATCTTAAAAAATAATGTCCTTTATCTATTTAAGTAATATATTCATCTTTAACCTTTTAAGGTTCAGTCACATATTTATGAGTAATACAATTAGCTGTATAATCATATGTTCCTTATTCAATATTTTTTATCATTTACTTTACTTAAGTAATCTCTTTATCAGATAATTCTGGTAAAGTCTATTAAATAAAATCACTTGGAGTGTAATTACTTAAATCAGCCTCTTCTATATCTTTATTATATTATTAAATTTCATTAATCTCTTTCTAATTGTCAATTATAACTGGAACAGTCTCTGGTATTGTTGCAATTATTGGAAGCTAATCTAAAGTTATTCTACGAGTTTCATTAACTTAATCAAATTTGAATTATTATTCATATGAAACTGTTACTGGTGAAGGTTAGTAAAATTCCTATTTTAATTCACATTATTATTATTGAATACTATATTATTGTTATTATTATTTTATCACATTATATAATTACAATTATTGCGGTGATTAAACAATTTATTATTATTATTATTATTATTATGCCAGACTAGATATTTCTTAATCTATTATTATTGCTTGTTTTGACTTATTTACTTACGTGCTTTTTAAAATCTATAAGAGAGGAGATTATATTGTTTCTTATATTATAGAATAGGACTTTAAAAATTACTAAATATGTGAAAGTTCACTTAAATACCATTAAGTTATTGCACAATCTTAATTTACAGATGATAAACCCCCATTTGTCATTTCTGTCTCAATTCTTACTAAAATATTATTATCATTTTTCACTATCTCTGTAAGCTAATAATTAATTTCTCCTCTTATCACTTTCATGTATGGCGGAGCATCCTCATTCTCTATTGATTTATCTACAATTAATATATCTTCCCCTCTATATGTTACATATCTCAAATAAACAAAATCTCTAGGTAGATATAATAAACCATATGGCTTGTGTCTTTCATATATTATTCCACAATTCTCACTTTACATTAAATTTAACAATTTAGTTTCATTTGAATTAATAACTGCATTCCATTTTTTTACAAAATCAATTTCAGCCAAACTTTAAAAAACCTTCTCTATATCTCCATTGAATATTGTTAATGTTGATCTAAAACACAGAGAATTTCCTGAGTCCTTTAATATTTAAATTCCATCTTTTGAATAAACTTGTGTGAATTATTTTGTTGATTGAGTAAAATAATCAGAATTAAATTTACCTTCCTCAAATAACACCTAAAAAACTTATGGATACTTTAATTCCTATTTTTATTGTATCAATGTCTATTATTAAACTTTCTGTTACTATTCTTATTATAATAATTATTGATTCAACAATTCTTATTATTATCTTATTTATTCAGCTCTCTACTATTAAAGTAATTATTCCTATTATAGTCTTAATTATTCCTCTTAAATTTTTTATTATTATTATAATAACTATTATTATTAATAATATTGTTATTACTATTGAATTTATGATTATTATTATTATTAATATTACTATTATTGATTATATATGACAGGTGATGATTGTAATTATTATTATTAATTGTTTTAGGGCTATAGTTATTATTTCGCAGGAGATTATTAATTAGTGTTGAACTGTTGCTAAGTATTTTAAGAAGGATTATATTATTATTATTGCTATAATTGTGGTTGAGTTGGTCTAATGTCTTATTCGTTTGTTTACTTAATAATTTTTATATTTGTAGATTATTTTTATGGAATAATTTCTGATTATGTCACTAACCTCATATCTTATCTTGTTGTATTGAAGGATTATTAAGAAGTTTATGTTCTAGGTTGATTATAATCATTAGATTCTAATAATAAACTACCTCTCATAATATTATCTTTAAATTGAGATATTGTTTTAAGTGCTTAGATCACTTTGTCATATAGGACTTTATCATCTGATCCACAGACCAATGTTTTATAATAGCCATGACCATCTGAATTAGCTAGAAGAACAAAGCGATAACGTTTATCTTTAAATTCTTATGGTTAAACAGTGTAGTATTATAGATCGATTATTCTTGGTTTCTTTTTGTTTTTGCTATTCTTTTTTCTTAATATTTCAAAAGTTCTTTATTTAGAATCAATCTTAAACTCTTTAGATTTCCAACTTTTTAAAACTTTAGTTCTGACATCAATATTTCCTTTGATTTCTCCAATTGCTGAAGGAATCATGTTTGCCTAAAACAAATAAAGTAGATATTACATATGCATATTATTTGATGATATTCATAAACATTACTTTTTATGCTTGTTTATTTAACTTCATTAAAGATTAGCATTCTTCAAGTTCTAATGAATGGAAAACAGATGTGTCGATTTCAGAGTTATTGATACATTCTAAAAGTAACTCAAGTTTATGGGACATCTTTATTGGTAACTTTTTTTATTCTAAGAGAAACTAAAATGAGTTTTGAGCTTCGTTAAAATCTAAATCCATAATATTATTATCATCAAAAATTGTGCTTCATCATCTAATAAAACAACAAATCCATTTGCTCTTTAAATCTAAGATGAAGCCAAAAATATGGTAAATACAACCAATATTCTTAGGCAGAAAAGTTAGCAAAACTTAAATTAAATTAGAATTCCTAAAAGATGGAACGATCATAAATAAACAAATAATCAGAAAAATTGACAGAAAGCTCTAGATGGCAAAATAATACAATTCAAAATCATACAAGTAAATTGAACTATTAATCAAGTACTTAAGGTTAGACCTCCTTTAAATAAGTCAGAACCTATTGAATTATTTTTTAAATCTATCAAATTGGATAATTATGTCTTAAAATTAAAAAAAAAATACTCCTTGATATTTAAAAAGAATAACTATAGCAAATTGATATACCATTAAGACACTAAATTAGAAGAATCAAAAATAATTAGAAAACTTAAATAATCATCTCAAGTTAGCTAAGTTAATATTCAAAACGAATCCAAATATGATGAAGTAGAAGGCATAACAATTCAATCATAGTAGAACCTTAAATTGACTTAAGTTTTACTAAATTTATTAAAAAAAATCTAGTCTTAATATAGAGAGAAAATTAAATGCAAAGAAATTCACATTTCAATAAAAGGGTAAACTAGATGATTATTCAAATATCCAATAATCCCTCCATTAATCATCTATCTTAAATTAATTAGAAGAAATTTCTAATTATATACATCAAAATCACATAGGAGAACAATCTGATAAAAGCATATAATCTATTTTATAATAACTGAAAAAAGACGATAATAATATTCACTTAATATCTGTTGCAAAATAAAAACCTTATGCTTCAAAAAAATATTGCAAATTTAAGAATTAAGAAAGTAGCTTGTTGGAATTGTTGTAAATTAATTACCAAAGATTTTGTTATAAATACTAATGAATTTTGCAATTTAGAATGCTATCAAAAATATAATCGTTTATATCTTATAAGTTGTTAATTTTATATTAGACTTAATGTGTAAGTTGCAATCAATAATTTGAATTTAAAAATGGAATAATATTTAATGAGTGTAGCTTTTGCTTGAAAACAGGATTTCTTAATTATGAAGGATGACAATAAAGAAATCTAAAAATAATTCTTAAACTTCAAAGTTATGGAATAATAAGAACAATTCGAAATTTTAAAAGTTAATATTGATTTAAATTTTGATTGTTTCATACTAAGTTTTTTTTCATCATCATCTTCTTTCTTTTTTATGATATAAATTATATTATTTTGGGCTTTTAATTAATTTTAATGCTATTTATTTAATTTAATTTTATTTTGATTGTTTCAATTTATTTCACATTTTTTTCATCTAGCTGAATTAAATTTACAGAGAGATGTTAGCAGTGAAGCACATATTGATTTTGAGTTCTTTTTTCCAAGATTAAATAATCCATTTATTGATATTGTTTTTAAAAATAATAAAAAAATGTTTATTAAACAAATAATATATTGCTTATAAAATTATATATA